CAATTTTTTTAACATGTATAGTCTCATTTAAATAAATTTGCATTATTGTTATTATTTCTTAGGTTAGAAATTTTAGGCACAGATTATATTTCTCCAGGTTTATAAATCAAATATCTGAACCCAGATACTTGAATTCAAACTTTTTGAATCCATATTCTCTTATTCCCTTGACAAATACATAGTTGCAGGTTAACCTAGAAAGACATTTTAAAATAATTTAATCTTAAAAGTACTATATTATTTATAAGCATAATATTTTATAATAACTGAATATATGCGAACATTGATGATTGGGATCTTCTATTTAAAGTTAGAGAAAAATGTCATAGTTGATTCAAAACATCAAATAATTTAGTAAATCATGTGCTTACTGCTCTATTTTCTTACCATAATTTGTAAATATTTCACTTTTTTTACAAAGAATGAAGCGTTCATATGATAAATGTATGTATATATGAAGTGAAAGTATATACACAACAAAGTTTCAACAAACATGGCAAGCCAAACTTTATTTCACTTAGAAAATATGAACTCATATACTCCTTTATTCTTGCTCAGTATTTACCTATATAATTTCAATATGATAAAGCATTTATGTACATGAAATATTCTGACATATATAATGATAACTGGTCCTAATTTGATCCTGCTTATGACTGACAAAAGGGATCAGTTTTTAAATAACATGGGATATTTAACCATCTTGTATAATTTAATTAAAAGTTATTTAAAATAAAAAAATCTCAAGATTATAGGTAAATGTGTAGTATAATACTAACCTGAAAAACAATAACGGTATATAAGAAAAGCATCTACATTAATATCACAATCTGGCTACAATACCTACATTGGAAACCAATAATAGAATTTTCCAAGAAAAAACTAGAGGTAGCATTTAAGCAAAAATCTGCTGGATTTTATACAATGTCTTTTTTAATGGACTTCTGGTTAAAAATAGTTTAACCAGAAGTCTCCTGCCCCCACGCCTGGCTGTTCCTCACCAGGGCCCCTTGGAGGGGAGCAGGTTGAGCTTTCCTCCCCGCCCCGACCAGGGCTCTGGCAGCTGAAGACCTCCAGGACCAGCCACCACCATGCTGAGACCACTCTCCGCACACATGAAGGTACTGGCAGAGGGACAAATCCACGCGGGTTCCGCGGCCAGGATCTCCAAGCCTACTCGGATTGGAGTCGAGCATCCTCCACCCAGATCCTGTCGCAGCCGCGCCACATCTTATCAGGACATCTTTTTATGACATCTGATTATCTCATTCCTACTTTGGACAAACTTGCAGGCTATCGAATGTAGCCTGCCCACAGGGCAGAGTCTGGCAAACTCCCCGTGGCGTACCAAATATGCCAAATACCGGTAACAATGATGGGTCTCATTCTCCTAAAGAGCCTTGAATATAATCTCAGGGTTAGGATGAAAGAGACGTTACTGGGGCCTGCTCGAGGCAATCGACGAATAACAGGATGATGAAATGAAATGAAATGAAATGAAATGAAATGGTTAAAAATACTGATATGAAATACTTACTCTCTCCAGCACATTATACTTAGAAAATGTGAAAAATGCCTCATTCAAAAGAAGTACCAAATCTGAGATTGGGGAATATATAAATACAATAATTTGGGGCAATTTCATCAGTATGCACATATTTTCCTTTTATATTGCAAAGAAAATTCTAAAAATAATGAAAATGCATTATGGATAGAGTGGAAAGTACTCCGTCATGCCTAGTATTTCAAAGAGAAATGAGAAGGTTTTATTTGTTAAGTACATTTAGCAACTCACATTTCTTACTATTAAATATTCAAATAAACTATTCTTCAGGAATTTTTTCAAGAGTGATACTCATTCCATTTCATGAGATTTATGACTGCAAAATCCTGTAGAAAATGTCATAATTTTCATTTAAATGACTTATTCACCACTTATTTTAATGTATTATCCACTTGGTATAAAATAACACAGTAGCTCCTTATGGGTACTTAGTGAAAATATCAAAATAAAATTGGTCATAGTATCCATATCTCTTTTTATAAAGAACAGCCATTGACATCTACTTAAAAATTCGAATCATTAAATTAGTATTGGTTTGAAATCTTAATAATCAGTCATTTTAAGAGTGATAGGAAAAGCAATCTCAAAACTAAGTACAATGTTCAAGTATTTTTGCTAGCTGAAACTCAACAGTGTATAAATACAGTCAATCAAAAAGCCATCCATTTACATCTGTTTTAGAAGTCTCCTTTTGTGTGCAATGTTAAGGAGTAGGGAATTAAAATAAAATGCTTTATTTTATTTTTAATTTTTATAAAAAGAATTACAACATGCATTTAGTCAAGATATATAAATGCCTAATCTTAACACTTAATGTATGTTAAGAACAAGCTCTAAAGAACTCAAGAAATTTTGGAAAACATTAAGTTCTAAGATAGAGCAAGGCATTTACTATATTTTACATTAACAAGTAATAATTCTTTAAAAAAGGCCCTCCCGTTGATTGTCGATTTGCTCGAGCGGGCCCAGTAACGTCTCCATTGGAGACTTTGTTGTTACTGTGTCTGGCATATCGAATACTCTCGGTAGCTTGCTGGGCTCTCCGAGAGGGGCTGAGGAATCGAACTCGGGTCGGCCATGTTGGCTGCGTGCAAGGCAGACGCCCTACCCGCTGTGTTTTAAAAATGTCATCATTATGTCACAGGTAAATCGGCCTATAAATATATTTCAAAATATCTAGTTTGACTTTCAAACATGTCTGGGTTTTTTTTTAATGACATACTTCGCTCACTATAGTTTTATCTAGAAATTATTTAGCTATTATATATTTATTCCTAATGAGAAATGGGTTATTTGGAAGAAAGGGAGGGTCAGAATGATAGTACTGAGGATCAGGCACTTATATTGTAAGCACTGACCTCAGGTCCAATCACCAGCACCCCATATGGTTCCCAGAGCCCTGCCCCCAACAATGAGGGATCCCTGGGCACAACTGGGTGCCCTCCATAAAATAAAGAAGAGGAAAAATGAACAACAAAAGAGCAGAACATATAGAAATTAGAAAAACAGAGAGAGAGAGAGAGAGAGAGACAGAGAGAGACAGAGAGACAGAGAGAGACAGAGAGACAGAGACAGAGAGAGAGAGAGAGTCCCCAACATTACATATGGTCCTCCAAGCACTACCAGGAGTAATTCTGAGTACAGATCCAGGAATGACCCCTGAGTATTGCTGGTTGTGAACCCCAAAGTAAAAAAAAACACGTAGAAAACACAGAAATGAACACTCTGGACAAGTATTGAATATTGAAGGTGGGTAAAAGAATATATATGATAACCTTTCAGTATCTGTATTGCAAACCATAATACCCGAATGGAGAGAGAGAGAGAGAGAGAGAGAGAGAGAGAGAGAGACAGAGACAGAGACAGAGACAGAGAGAGACAGAGATAGCAACAAAGACAGCAACAGAAATAGAGAGAGACAGCAACAAGACAGATACAGAGAAGAAAAGTGCCTGCCATAGAGATAGGGTGGAGAGAGGGGTGGAAAATGTGCACTGGTAAAGGGATGGGTGTTGGAACACTGTATGACAGAAACCCTATCATGAACTACTTTGTAACTCTGCATTTCACTGAGTCAATTAAATATATATATATATATATATATGTATATAAACATTTTAAAAGTAGACTAAAATAAATTCCTACGGTTGCTTGAGCTAAAAAAAAATAAATCATTTGAACATTTTCACAGAAATACACATGTGTTGTGTTTGCTGTACAAACAGTTGACCCCAGCTTAGTCCCAGGCACTGCATATGGTTCCCTGAGTAGCACTGAGAGTAACCTCTGAGCACAGAACCAGAAAAAGACACTGAATAGCTATGAGGTGTTAAGAAACAAAAAAGCATTGCTGGGTTGTAGCAATGGTACAGCACATAAGGTGCCTTATATAGTCCCCTAAGCCTGTCAAGACTGAGGCTGAGAGCACAACCAGCAGTAAGCATCATCAGGTGTGGCAAAAAATGGAATAATAATAATAATAATAATAATAAATAATTTTTATATTTTTGCTTTTTGGGTCACACCCGGCGATGCACAAGGGTTACTCCTGGCTCTGCACTCAGGAGTCACTCCTGGTGATGCTCAGGGGACCATATGGGATGCTGGGAATCGAACCCGGGTCAGCTGCGTGCAAGACAAATGCCCTACCCACTGTGCTATCACTCCAGTCCCAATAATGAATAATTTAGCACTTTTAAATTATATATTCAAGAATCCAAGTATACTTGGATTTGAATACATATTATTTCTTATTTCATAAAAGTTTTTGATAATTGTTTAAATTCTATTTTTCTCTCATAGTGAAATGATAAAGCAAATAGATATGTGCATATACATATACATAGAGAGAGAAAGGGATGACTAATAAGGATTTTTACCCCAGTTGTAACATGGGAAACTCCTTTTATTATCTTATATCCTGTGTCTACTTCTTATGTTATTTTGTCCTGGTTTTTAACAAAAACTTTTCTTTAAAAATTTCTCAGGGCCAGAGAGATAGTATAGCGCAAGTAAGGCACTTGCCTCGCACTTGGCCAACCTGAATTCCATCCCAAGCACAACATAATATTCCCCAAAACCATCAGAAGTGATTCCAGAGCATAGACCAATGAGTAAAACCTGAGCATCACAGGGTCTGTCCCTGAGGACAAAACGTTATGTATTTCATAACCTAAGTTCACTTATTTGGTGCTGATTTCCTTGTTCTGATATTCATCTATTTAAGGATTTTACTTTGGTGACTTAAACAAAGAGCCCAGAGGTAGAACCATTGTCGCAAAACATGTAGAAAGTTCAGCCTAAGGAAACTTGTTCTTTAGTAAACAAAAATAAGTAAATTGTTGTGTCTAGGTAATATCGACGTAGAAATACATCTTCAACTGCCAACTAGGAATATTTTAAGTAAAGAGCCCTGTAGGATTTTCCAATCTGTAACTCAACTGGATTTGCCTCTAGGGCCATGACTCACCCAGATATTTCCGTCCTGATGATAAGGCTTCCAATTTCTCCCAGTGTCACTGTAGAGCATGCGGTACTGTGTCACCCAGTCGGAACTGCTGTATCTCCCTTGGGTTGCGATGGCACTGATCTGCTTCCGGTTGCCAAAGTCAACTTGAAGCCACTGATAATGGTCACTATCTGATGGAGACCATCCTCCGGCACCTGCACGAAGTAAAGGCAAGAGGGGAAAAGAATATTTAAAGTTGAACTTCTACACATGACAATGGATGATTCTGCATATTTTAATTGGCCTTGGCAGTGCTATATTTCACACATATATTATGAAGTGTCCTTTATAGATGCCATCGGGACTTCAGCTAATATTCTTCCAGCTGGGTAACATTGATACTCTAACCTTTTTATGGTGTAATTATGTGCTCATTTTCTCCTGAGCAAATGTCTTCATAATTCCTCAATTAGATCTTATTAGTACATGTCAAAGTCTAATTGGCTGAGGGTTGATCAATTTACCGTGAATTCTTTAACAAAAAATCACAGGAAAAGAAATACATAACAATATCACAATTCCTTACTCGAAGTTTTATTGCTTGGTATAACATGAATGGAACCAAGGCAATTATATACAACTTAAATTTATTTTTCTTTTAAAAGTTCAGAGTTCAGAAATATCAACTGATTTAAGTAAAAATCTAATCTTTTTTTTTCTTTTTTTGTAGGAGTACTGCTATTTATTCAGCCACTGATTAGCTGATTGAATTGTGCATGAACTCCACCTTACTTTTTTTTTCTTTTTCCATTTTTTATAATTTTATTTATTGAATCACCGTGAGAGCAGTTACAAAGCTTTTGGGTCTAAGTCTCAGTCATACAATGAAACACCTGAACCTTCACCAGTGCCCATTCTCCACCACCAAAAATCCCAGTATACCCCCATCCCACACCCTCCCCCTGCCTGTGGGGCAGATGATCTCCACATTACTCTCTCTCTCTCTCTCTACTTTGATCATATTCAATATTTTGACACCAGGCCCACCATTATTATTTGAGATTTACCCCAACACTCAGATCTGCTGAAAAGGCAACAGTAGACAATTTGTGTTCTATTGCTGGTTATGAATAACATATGATGTCACGTGGCTGCAGTAGGGCCATGTGGTTTTGAAATTACGAAATTTTAACACTTAAAACTGGAGGGATTTCTGCCAAAAGCCACTGGGTTTCGAGATCTGCTCCTGAGTCTCTGGGATCATGGCCATTGAGCAGCTTGATGAGGAGCCAAAGAGGCCATTCGCGGGCGATGACTTGGGGTCTCATTGGGGTGGGGAAGACAGGCCCGGCTCCACCTCCCCCCCATATCCCGTGAGACCCAACAAGTTTCGTCACTGCGGGCCCAAGCCTGACTGTCCAATGGCCTCTGGAGGATGACAGCCACCAAGTCGCCAAGAGGGAGCAGGCGGAGAGACAACACCTTTTCCTCCCTGGGGTGGCCTGGCGACAGTAATGTACTGTGGAGTCCGGATGCATTTCTGCCAAACGCCACTGGGTTTTGAGATTTGTTTCTGAGTCTCTGGGATCATGGCCGTTAAGCAGCTTGATCAGGAGCCAGAGAGGCCATACGTGGGTGATGACTTGGGGTCTCGTTGGGGTGGGGAGGACAAGCCCGGCTCCACCCTCACCCCGTGAGGCCCTGTGTGTCTCGTCACTGGGGACCCAAATGCGACTATCCAGTGGCCTCAGACAGATGGCGGCCACTGGGCCTCCAGGGGGAATAGGCCAAGGCACGAAACCTATTCCCACCTGGGTTGGCCCAGCACCGGTAGCCTACTGCAGAGACCCGACGCATTTCTACCTAAAGCCACTGGGTTCTGAGATTCGTTTCTGAGTCTCTGGGCTCATGTCCATTAAGCAGTTCAATCAGGAACCAAAGAGGCCTTGCCTCCAATTATATAGCTGAGCCGGAGGTGGTTTGTGGGTGTGTTTCCCACATACCTAACTTTTGGCCATTTACTTTCTTGGTAAACTTTGCCCCAAGTTTTTGGGGTCTGGCCAAAGGCACAGCAGCAATTTGGGGGTATCTGGAAGTCTGAAGGCGCCATGAGGCTGCTGATGCACTTGCCTCACAGGTACAGATTGACCTGCTGGCGGCACCGTACCCCCGTAAAAATCTAATCTTAATATAAGTCATTTTTCATAAAATGTTTAGTACTCATAAGACTTTTAGTAGACCAGACAATATATTTATCATAATATAACACATATAAGCTCTTGATGGAAATATTTTGAAAAGGATAAGATAAAATAAAATTTATTTTAGTAAAATATAACTTGTTGGAAAATAGTACAAATGCAAAATATTTATTAAAATATTTCTTATATGGAATAAAATGAGATAATTTGTGGTACAATACAAAATTATTTTGTTTTATATTGTAAAACAATATAAAACAAAATAATTTTGGGGGGCTGGAGCGATAGCACAGTGGGTAGGGCATCTGCCTTGCACGCAGCCAACATGGCCGACCCGAGTTCGATTCCTCTGCCCCTCTCGGAGAGCCCGGCAAGCTACCAAGAGTATTCGATATGCCAGACACAGTAACAACAAAGTCTCCAATGGAGACGTTACTGGGCCCGCTCGAGCAAATCGATGATCAACGGGAGGGCCTTTACTTTACTTTACTAGCAGCCAACGTGGCCAACCCGTGACGTGACTTTACTTATATTGTAAAATATACAGCATAATACTTAGTACTAAAAGGGGATATACTTTTTGAATGAGCTCAGCTACAAGTAGGAGTATATAATAAGAGCATATTCAATAAATTATTATACAATATATACAAAGATGTGCATCACTTTTTAAATAGTTTACAATGACAACAAAATAGCTTTTTCTATGAAAACTTCGAGAAAATTGTTTTATTTTATCCATAAATTATATGGGTTTATAAAATGTATGACTTTTGCTTTTGACTGATACGATAGTTTTCTCACAGCATTGGAATTTTTATTTTATTATTATAATTTTTTTTTGCTTTTTGAGTCACACCTGGCGATGCTCAGGGGTTACTCCTGGCTTTGCATTCAGGAATCACTCCTGGCTGTGCTCGGGGGACCATATGGGATGCTGGGAATCAAACTCAGGTTGGCCGCGGGCAAGGCAAACGCCCTGCCTGCTGTGCTATTGCTCCAGCCCCACAATGGAATTTTTAAAAAATAGCAAAATGCATAACATTTCCCTTTGCCTGACTCAGACTATCGATAGCACAAAACCCTGATTCATGAGAGAAGAGAAAGGAACACAAGAATGTTCTTCCAACTCCCTGACTTTCTACCTGGTTCCATTTTGTGGTCCCATTTTGTGTCATGATGCTTGTCCCCAACAGGGTCTCACTGTGATGGAGACAAATAGGAATGGAAGTGACCGAGGCAGCTGGAGTTTGTAGGACAGAGTACCTAGGAAGGGGCAGCTGTGTGGAGAAAGAACTCTGGAGTCATCTAGAGGATAATGACAGAAACTCTGGAATCCTAATGGAGGACATTCTGCTGCATATTTGCAGACTAAAGAAATACACCTTGCTGAGAAGAATAATTGGATTAAGAGAATGGCTTGAACAATCCCTCAAGCATCCATAGGGATCTCAAAAAGACAACAGTTTACTCCTCAATAAGGGCGACTCTCCAAAGGAATCAAACTCAGGTCTGCCGGGTCAGCCTTGTGTAATGCAAATAGCACAGCGGATAGGGCGACCTGAGTTTGATTCCTCTGCCCCTCTCGGAGAACACGGCAAGCTATCGAGAGTATCTAGCCCAAACGGCAAAGCCTGGCAAGCTCCCCGTGATGTATTCGATATGCCAAACACAGTAACAACAAGTTTCATAATGTTACTGGGCCCGCTCAAGCAAATTGAGATATATATATGTATATATGTCTGTTTTATATGTATATAATTTCATATATATTAATAACATATATAATATATTATATATTAATATATATTAATAACATATATATGTTATTTCCCCTAAGGTTATGTCTGTTCCTTAAATAATGCTGTCCTGACAGACTTGCATCAATTTGGGAAAACAATAGAGGGGTTTTATTTACGTTCTAAGAAGAGTTGATGCAGCATTTGTGGAACTTTCTATGGTGACTGCTTTCTAGTTCATCTCCCTGTCATGTTTTCCCCCATAGTGTTTTCCCCCTTCCCTTACACAAGTGTCGACCATGAAGATAGTCTCTGGAAATATTTCTACATGCTTAGCTCTATCTCAGAATCTGTATCCTGACTAATTCAGCCTGCAATGCCTCCTAGGCCGAATTTTTTTGATAATCTGACATTAAAAAGCATGGATTAATTGCCCTTAGTTTGTGTTTTGTTATAGGTAAACTATTTTTTAGGTAGATTATAGTAATTAATTTTCTCTACTGTCCTAGAAGACACACCTATTTTTATTTAGAATTCTTTAAAAAACTGGAGAAGGCCACAGAGGAAACTTTGGAGTAATACCATATCAATTCCTGAACAAACTCAACAAGGAATAATCTCTGATCCTTATCCAGTAGTAAAATCCTTCCTGTCCCCTTAAATTAATATATCCCCACAAGGGGATATTTTGTTCTCTTTTCTGTTATCTATATAATTCCAAAGTTTGGAAAAATTCCTTCACAAACAAAACCTAAACTTTTAAGTGCTTCAGTGATTGGATGAATTTAGTTATTGGCAAAAACCAGCAACTATTACAGTGACTATAAAAGAGGAAATTTGAGCAATTGGTAAAATTTAGACTACTTCCCTTCACTGGTCTTAAAAGAGAATACATTTTCTCTTTACCCAATCAATTTTTTGAATTTCAATTTTTCAATAAGGAAGCAATTAACATGCAGCTACTTAATCCCTCTTATCTCACTGTCACTGTTGCTGTCCTCCCATTGTTCATCCATTTGCTTGAGCGGGCCCAGTAATGTCTCCATCGCAAGACTTGTTGTTACTGTGTTTGGCATATTGAATACATCACGGGTAGCTTGCCAGGCTTATCTCATTTTGCTAAAAATAGAATTTAATGTTACGTACAAGGGAAGCAAAATTCTTGAAACAGGGGAACTCTACGTGCTTGGGAAGAATGGTAATTAACCTTGGGGGAGGGTGAGTATCATGCTTTCATGTGGAACATGGAGGAGAGATCGATGAGACGTTTCCTGC